TGCTCAAGGGCACCTCGGCAGTGCCCAGGAGGTGAACTGGCAACCAACTTCCGTGGCTACTGCCTCCCTGATGATGTAGATTGACTGTAGATTGGGGAAACAACCAAACACTTCCAAAGTGCATGGCACAACCAGAATGTAGCGTTAGCAGGCTGTCATGGTCTAACTAACTAATGAGAAATACTGGCACAGCACTGGACAGCCAGTTTCATTCAGGACTCAGCAGTACACTTACTGTACGTATACAGGAAAAGGGCACAGATGTGTTCAATTTTGGCCAGAGAAAAACTAATGGTTTGAAAGCAGAAATGGGAAAACTATCACTAAAAGAGGAGGTGGTCTACCACACTGATAATCAGCCACTTACTATGCACTCTTGAGATCCCACTTCTTCTAATGTAAAAAAATCCCTCCATACTGCTCCTGTGGTTTCCTCCAAGTGTTCATAAGCCCTGGCATTTTAATTTGACTTGAAACGAGGTCATTTACACCATGTTTTTATCCTAAATGTCCCCTGATGATTCTACTTCCATATAACCTGTCTATGCTGCATTTCTGGGGGATTTGGTTAGTTGGCAAGCCATCTCATCTCTTATGAGCTTTTGTGACAAACACTAGCATATTCCCAGCTGCTTGTGTGTTGAGTGATATACTCACCGATTACAGTATTTCACCAACTAACCCTGTAGGTAAGTAGTATATCACCAAGCTTACAGTACCACCTGTTTGTTATGCTGTTGGCACAAAGCACTGCAGGATGTAAATGTCATAAGCCATTGCTATCTATGCACTTTGGTCTCACTGTAAAGATGTCTGTCATGTTTCTGTCACCAGGGACAAGGAGAAGGTGGAGAAGGTTGTGACATCACTTGGGGTAAAGGTGATGGCCAGGGAGTCTCGTCACTCTGACCCCAAAGTCCTCTTGTCTGCCATCTGCAGCCAGTGGTTACCGTTATCCCAAGCTGTCCTTTGTATCCTGGAACAAACAGTGAATGGTCTGCTGTCACTTCTTATGTTTGCTGTGCTGCCTCAGTTGAGTGTTTTGAGGGTTTTTGTACATTTGATCTTTAACATGAACTGTAGCAATGGTGTGTGAGAAGCTTCCCAGTCCCTTAGACATGGCAGCAGAGCGAGTGGAGAAACTGATGACTGTTGGAGCGCGACGGTTTGACTCATTGCCCAAACAAACTCAGGAATTGAAAAAAGGTATTTGTATAGACACACACACACACACACACACACACACACACACACACACACACACACACACACATCTACATTGAAAAGAGGGTGGGGTATCATGCAGTAAACAACAATCTTAGACTTAGCACTTGAATGCAGCGTCAATTGTTTCATATCCGATTGAACAAGGTGAAGCCCAGATCCTCAAGAATAAGAAGGGTGCAACTAACCTGATGTGCTCTAGGAACCTGTCAACATTTCTCGACCTCTGCTAGATACATTTTTATAACTTTATTTATGTCTGTTGTTATTCTAATTACCACCATAATGGCACTTCACAGTGTTTGACTTATGAGGAGCTGTTGCGACCTAATGCTGGTCAGATCACATTTATTATAGAGCCAATAAGTGCTGAGCTGATTTTCCCTCAGCCTGTTTAAGGGAAATACTGAAAACTCACTAAGAATATTTTAAGAGCGTCAAAAGTGACTATAAGAAGCAGGTATGAAGAACTTAACTATAAAACATGTATTTCTCTCTGGCAGCTTTGTGAGCATGGTACGGACAGCACAGAAATAAAAACTCACACTCTAGAAGGGTAGTTTGTTCTTTGCATCTTTCAGGCCTCTCATCCCTGATGTAGTCCTTAATCGTCTGATTAGAGGATGATCAAATCTCACCCACCAACTGCTCTGATCTGTCTGACTCAAACATCAGAGATCTTACAGCACCAGAATTCCTGTGTGTGTGGTTGGCTGGCTGGCTGGCAGGCCTTCATCTACCTTCTTTCTCTTCCCACAGATGTACAGAACTTTTTTGAACTAAGTAGATTATATCTGATGAGTTGCAGGAAGTAATTTGCTCTTAATCAGTTTGTGCAATTTAACTAATAACCTCCAATTCAGTTTTTTCTTCGGGTTCAAAGGTGAGTGGGCTCTCAAAAAGTATACTTTATCTACTTAAAAGTTTTTTGACATGTAATCATAGAAACCATTTCAAATGACATAATTATAAGTGTTAATTCATGTCAGTTTAAGTATATGACGCCAAACTTCTTACAATAGCTATCTTTCACAGTCTCCCAGTTAAGCTTTAATGCTTTCAATAATTTATTTTCATCTTAATGATTTTTAATACAGTATTAGAACAGTGTCAGATACCTGTTCACTGTATGAGATATATTTACACATTTAAATAACATAAGCAATATATATATAAACGTTTTTTGCGTTAGATGCTGATCAGCATTGCATTTTGGCTGCCTTCAAATTTGTAGGTAACGATCTTGGTAGTCATGTTCATGGTGTCTTTGGCGTTCATGTGGTTAAGTTGTGGAGACCACTGCTGCAAGGCAACAGCAACATGGTGTGTGGAGGTCTCAGAGGCTAACATATAAGAAAGCTAGCAATTAGATAACATAATTTGGCAAATGCAAAGACATGAAAAGATGAAACAGTCGGAATATTAACATTTTCCTCAGAAAATAAAATTGTGACGAAAAACTCCATGTATAATAAATAACAACAGATTGAACACCAATGTCCTTTCTGAATACATCAGCAAACACATCCCAATTGTGTGTCAGAAAATTCCAAGCTATACATTTATTACACCACAAGAGGTAGATGGGTGAGGGATTCAACAAATAAAAAACATATTCACATGTTCATATTTATTGCCTGCAATTTCTTGGATTGATTGGCTGAGAATAGTATATAAAGTTTTTTGGAATTAGCTGCTATGTCATAAAATATTTTGCAGTATATCCTTAATCATCAGTGTGAAAAAGGAAATGATTGCCTCTCGATTATTGCCCACTGTCTGATTGTATTCATGTGGTGTGTGTCATCTAAAATGTATACCATGTTTGGATTTGGTCTGTCATTGCTTTGCTGTGTTTTGGAAGCAGCTAAAACAATGGAACATGACTTTGGCTTTAATCTTCCTTCTGTGTTGTGATTTCAGATGTGTGTTTGACTCGTTCTCCTCCTCTTTGTTTTGTTCCAGCATTCCTACAGTGTTCCAGCGGAGAAAATTCTCCAGTTATCGTCTTTGTGTCCAAGATGTTTGCTGTGGACACCAAGGCCTTGCCTCAGAACAGACAGAGGTAATTGAGACTGTGTTTCCACAGACAGTGTTGTCAGTAGATGGTGCTGCTTTCCTGTTCTTCTCTCATGTCGCAGGGCTGTGGGCATGCTCAGTATGTCAGTTCTGTCCTGGACCTAAAAATGGAGAGATTGCCTGAAGTTACTCACAACCTGTGAAGTACCAGCTCATGAATACAGTACAAACGCTATTTTATGTGCTAAAACACTTTTTAGTGTCAAATCACTGCTTTAACTGCAGTACCTGCACATTACTATAGTTAACTGGTTGGTTTATCCAAATCTCAGACAAACAAACACTCTGTCACCTTCCTCTCGTGCTGCCTCTCCATGCTTATGGTCTGAGATCCATCTCAGACATTTCCACCTCCACCCCAGTAAAGTCAGGCAACATGCATCTCCAGAAAGAGTGTCCTTATTTCTTCTAATGGCTTCTGTGTTTGAAAGTAGTTCCAACTATGTCTGCTGACAAAGCATTATACAGAGCATAAGGTGGTACACATCAGTGGTGTATGACATACGTCACGTCGCTGACCAATAGGAAGCATTTTTATGCAGGCCAACTTGTTGGGACTGGGACACGACATTTCTCGGGACTTGAGTTCCCGCAGTGTAAAGTAGCAATCTTATTCCGATCACTCACCCTAATACTGAAGTCTGACTTTGTCTTTCTGTGTGAGCTGTGGTTGTTAAATGATACGATGCATACACTATGCTACATTTTATTGTCATTGAAATCTACAGACACAAACCAACAAAATGAAGTACGACAAACAGCTAAATGTGTAACTGAGATGTTTTTTCACTAGCCTGCAGAAAAACATGTTTGGAAGCCAATGTCCCCACACATCTCTCTGTGTGGTTCTCCAGTAGAATTAGGCTGATAAATTTGCCAGCTAATATATCAGACATTAGTTGCTCATCAACAACATATGCATATGTAGATCATTTTTGGCCAGTAGGTGAAAAGAAATTCTTATATAAATTTCTGCCTGTAAAATGTTCTTCTTCAATAATCAGATTGAAGTGATCCTCATTAAAATGTTCCTGTAATGTGTTGAATACCGGCAACATACATAGCAATATCAGATTTGTCTAACTTCTGTAAAAAAAACTAAACAAAAAAAAAACCTTGAGATATCGACATTGGTGTTGGGCTCAAAAAATCAGTGCTGGTCTATAGTTATACTTCCCATTGGACTTTTTTTAGAGTGTGCCCTGTGGAGTACATTATTCAGAGAAATTGAGACCTAAACTTACATCCACCAAAAACCTACATCCCAATGAAGGTTCTGTAATCCACAGATTTAAGAGGGATTTATATGAATACACAACTATTTCTTTCAATAAGACCACATGAAACACGTCAAAGCTGTGGCTATGGAGGGTACTGTTGATTTATTTGGCGTTTAAAGTAGCCAATCGCACGTGAGCCCTTTAATGACAAATTATGAAGCACTTATAAAGATCACATGGAGTCAATAATGAAGTCAGTTATAGAAAAGTCCAGACATAACCTATGTCTCACTGTGGGATGGTGAAGTGGTAGTCTGCCACCTCTTCTTAGTATTTGCATCTCTTTACCTTTAGGAATGGGTTGTGGTTCTTCCTCCCCAAGTAGGACAAAGCTATTAGCCCCCCCAGATCTGTCCTTCTTAGAGGTGAGCAGAGGATAAACCACAAACCCCCCGACTCTTCCACTGTCAGTGATAGATGGAGTTGGCCTCGTCTACCCTGGCCTGCCTGTCTGGCTTTAGGATCTGATTGCACTCAAACATCACACAGCTCCCCGCTTCAGTGTGTGCCTCATTAATCTAAGTCTGGTGTCACAGATTCTGTCTTCAAGCCCTTTATGAAGCTGTGAGATTAGATCTGCGTCTTCTTCCGGTGGGATGAATTGCAAAGCGTCCTCACATTAAAAAGGCAGGGTTGACATGTTACAGCAAAGAGTGGACTGCTGCCATTCCTCACTGGAAACATATGCTTACAGGAGGCTGAGATTGATGTGTGGGAGTCATCACAGAGTAGGTCCAAGTTTTTGGTTTAATGGCCTGGCCTGTGAAGCACGTGTGAGCAATGATTGGGTCAGAGAGAGCTCATTGTCTTCTTTCTACCTCTAATGAGGAACAGCAGCTAAAATGTCTCAGCTGCATTTAAGACTGAAAACTCTTCAGCAGTAAACTGTAAATGGATGGTTAATATAATATACTTTGGTAGTACAAGACAAAGGTTAGCTATATGTGGATAATGAATACTGGAAATGGTGAATAGAGAAATCATCAGCCATGTGCCACGACAAAAAAGGAAGAAACATTTTTTAAAAAAAAAGCTGAAATGTAAAAAACAAAAAAACTAACTAAAATATGTGTATGTGAGTGATTTAGGAAAACTTGCCACATTTAGGATAAAAGTATGAAAATGTTCTCACATGAGTACTGTCATTGTTACCTCTGAGAATGTTTTTATCACTTTTTTAAGCATCTTAATATTTTTTCCCATGCAGCGTATAATTCCTGGATCTTGATTAAATTCATCTGTTATATTTAGGTGATTGGTAGCAATGAGTGTGTGTAATTTGCTGCAGCTTGATTCATTTTAAACAGACTATTGGGCCTTGAGGGTGTTATGTGCTCAACTAAGTGTCAACCTTGTTTATTTATGAGATTAATTCTATTTTGATTTTGGGATGAACACTATTACTTTCATTTGTTAGTTTCTGTATACTCAATACACATCAATGTTGCCATACAATAAAGTCCAGCAGACAAGAAACATGAGCAGGTTGCAAACAAAGCAGTCAGTCTTTAAGCCAGAGTGAAGACACACCACTTTATTTGAAAGTAAAAAGCCAAAGTCAGCACAGCTGAAACATTAGTAATAACAGTTGAGGTAGCAAAGGAAATGGATACACTCCTCCTAGTCATTTCAGGTCAAAATGCTCACTGAAATGGTTTTTCAGGCTTCTGTGGTTTTTGAGCCTGTAGAGCTTTAAAGTCATGTACCGAGCCCGCTGACTTCCCGCTACATCCTGTCACATAAGAATGGAAAAAAAATAATGATGTGGCATCACTCTTGATGAAAGATTTCAACATTAAAAACTGTACAGACTCTGCCCTCTTGCTCAAGAAGGCAGATTGATTCATTTATAACTTACTGAAAAATTTGAATGCATTTGTCAGTAAACATTGGCTGACTGTTTTTTGTAGACTTTTGGTGCTGCCATCATGCATTCGATCATCAATGAACAATACATGGCCTGTTCCAGAAGCAGCCGGAACACCACCTCCACAGAGTTTGTATGTTCCGGATCATGAGCGGATTCTTTGTTTCTGACCACTTCAGCCATACCACCATTTTAGTAGAGGTTAAAACATTGTGCCAGAATGTTTGGATGTTGAATACCAGTCTTGCCCTTTGATTCCTCCTCCTGATGAGTGGTTTGGATCTTGTGGTCTAGCCTCCATGTTTCTGCATGAGTCTCCTTTGAACAGTCGATGGTGAATATGTTCACCCCTGTCCTGTGGAATTTGTAGCTGATGCTACTTTGGGGTTTGTCTTCACAGCTCTCACAATGTTTCAGTCAACAGCTAGTGTTGTTGTTGGCCGACTTGCTCAGTGTCTGTTTCTCAGTTTAGCAGTAGTTTCTTTCTTTTTCAGGACATTCCAAATTGTTATAGTGGCTTTGCCAATATTTTTGCAGCAGCTCTGATTGATTTTCCCTCTTTCCTTGCCTGAAAATGGCTTGATTTTCTCACATAGACAACTCTCTGCTCTTTTTTGTTGGTTTGGCCTTTTAATTCCACAGTTTTTACAGGTGAAACCCACAACAACAGCAGACACCCAAAGGCATTCAATGTTTAAACTATTAATCTAAAAAGAAATGCATCAACAACAAGGAACACCAGAGCCTCTGCTCATTTGTCAATCCAACAAAACATGTTTTGTCCTAATTTGTAAATACCAGGAATTAAAACCTGAAATTCTGAGCTGAAACCCAAATACAAATACTCATCTTTCGGATTTCATGGTAATATAAAATTAATAGAATATGAGGACTGAGGAGGTCTTATGTAACCTGAAAATGCTAATCTATACTCCCCCTCCAGGCCTCTCCCTGTCTTTAGCTTCTTGATCTCCAGAACATCTAATGCAGAGTGGAAAGATCTCACCTCAGCCCACTGGCTCTCTGCTCTCCTTCCCCCGCTTGTGACAGAACTGGATCCTAATTGCAGACTCTGCTGAAGCTCTCAGAGGGAGACAGAGTGTCAAGCAGGGGAGAGGAGATATAGACAGGCTGTCAGAGCTGAGTTAGAGGATGGGGAGGTGGAGATACAGATATGTGAAAGAGTGAAGGAAAGAAAGGTCATCTCACACTATGAAATGACAAAGAAAGGAAAAAGCCTGTCCGAAATCAGGCTAATGAGTTTGCAAGCACTTCCATTTTATTTTGCCCTTCACCCGCAACACTGCTGACATCTGTGTGGCAGTCCATGACCACAACTGCCTACAGAGGGGTGGGTCGTAAATGTATTGTGTTCCACCATGGCCTGACAGTCTGCAGTCAACAGTTGGTTTAACTGTGTGACACCATCAGCAAGGTTCAAGACATGGAGAGGATCATTATCTTGTGACTATTTGTGAACCGTAGAACACATTCACATCATGTCTAACTCAAATTACAATGTGATCAATTACTGTAATCCCTTACAAAGCTTTGCTGTCATATGCACAGATGAACCAGTTGCATTTTACCAGCAAATATTAGGTGCATTTCTATCTATCAACATTTTCATACACATTGTCGCATTTTGCATCAGAGAAGTGGAGAGTGGATAGGCAGATGAAAAAAATATCTTTTCTAGGGAGTTGGCACATTGTTAATGTTAAATGGGACTGCAATGTGCAAAGAAAAGAATGATAAGAAAACTTATATTTCTGTTCCAGAAGAGAGGAAAAAAGATTTTGCCAGAAAATATCATGTCCGGATCAATGAGGTCACTGT